AACATATCCAGAAATTGTGTCAAAAGAAATCTTTTCAATAGAAAGAAAACTTGTTTAAACTAAGTGCCAGATTGCTTCACTTTTTGGACAGCTTCATTCCCTCTTGGCTTTTAAGAAATCGTCTCTCACCATTCGAGAAATTTAATAGGCATTTAATTTAATGGATGTCATGTTGTCCTCCAATAACCTCACGCCTTCATTTTTGTAGCTAACCTTACCAATAAAACCACCTGAGCACCTCAGCTAAACATTCATTTAGCACATCACAAATCCAGCAGACCTTGACTACCTTCACAGCAAGACAAATAAATATGTTAAAGGACCATCCTAATGTTCTCATTTTGAAAGTCAAGAAACATTTAGCTTAATAGCTAACTAATTTATCACACTGAAAGGGCACATGCCCTCTGGGATTTCCAACTAACTTGGTCCTGCTTGACCTCCAGGCAAAAGAGGAGAATGGAGCCCTGTACAAGTTACCAGAAATTAGCTCAATATCGTATCACACTAAGTAAATGTCAAGAATAGTGTGTTTTTTATCCTGACTTTTACTACAATTCTGACTCTATCAGTAAAATTCTCAGCTCTTCCGCTGAGAACAAGACCCTGGGTTTTGGGACCTCCGTGGTAGAAAAAACTTAGCTTTATGAGTGAGCCTTTTCAATCATAGGTGACATTAGGGACATGACAAAGACAAAGCCTGTATCGTTCAGGAGGATATCATCATGAGACAAACCACACCAGTATTTGCAACAAATTTAATACAAAGAACTATTAACTAGGTAAAAGTTGGTTAACTAACGAAAGGGGTAGAAGAGAACTCTGCGGTGTTCTCGAGGCAGCAGTATCAGGAAGCAGCTACCACCCTGCGCAGTGACACCCTAACTGACCCCAACGGTACCAAGCTGGCATGCTCTCTTCTTCTTAAGTACAAGGGAAATCTGTGACTTGCTTCTAACCAATGTTATATGGAAGACATGGTGGGACATCACTCCCTTGAATAAGACATAATATAGAGGATTTTATCTTAGCTAACTGTGACAAGGGAGTCTCCTGAGGGCTTTGATGAAACAAATAGTCATGTGTGAACTGCTATGGAAAGGGCCATATGGAAGAGAACGACTGGTGACCTCTAGACCCTGAGGGTAGTCCAGCCAGTAGTCAGTAAGATCCTGGGTCCCCGAATGAGCCTGAAAGATGATTCTTCCCTAGTCCAGTCTCCAGATGAGATATGACACAGCTGACAACTTGATTACAGCCTGGTTATACCCAAAGCAGAAGACCCTACAAAACTTCGTCCAGACATAGTCCATGGAAATTGTGAGATAATAAATACGTTAAGTTGTTAGATTCATGGCAATTTGTTACACAGAAATAGAAAATTAATACACACCCTTAGGGCTGAGGAAAATATGAAAAAAAGAAGAAACTTAGAAATTTAAAGAATAAAGTCATGATTAAGATCGAGATTAGACTTCTGTGGAAATAAACTACTGAAGAAATATGCCACCCACTGCTCTGATCAAGACGAAACTTTCTGGAGACCACTCAGCACTACAGAATCTGACACTTCTAGGAACCCCTGGAAAGTCTTTTCACACTCCCTCAGCCCTGCCATCTTCTCCTGTGTCCCCTGTTAGCAGAGCCTAACTCAAGCCTAACAAGAATAAATAAAATCTGAAGGTCCAACTGCAGTATCTCAAAATAGACAAAGGGGTGTAGGCTGTCAGCTGAGAGGTGATAAATTAATACCTGGTATAAAAGTCTATAGTTACAACTCCTAAGATAACCTTTCAAGAAACCCATTAGTCCTGGCAGAGGAAAAAGCCGCAATAGGAAAGCAAAGGGGAAAATTTTGCATTTTGAGGTCAGAGTTGACGGCTAGCGAATGAAGTCCAGAAGGCTTCTCCTTCCCTAACATGTCAATGAAGAGCCAGCACACCAGGCCAGACAGGGACCGGGCTCCTCCGACCTGGCTCACAGACTACACTCGAGGATTCAGCATCTCGAAACTACAAGGTAAGCACACCAGTCCAGAGTGCAAAATGAGGGGTTATTTTAGTTCTGGTAACAAAGACTTGGAATATCAGTAATTTAAATAAAAAGTTTATTTCTGTGTCTAGTAATTATCCTGAAGGCAGATGGAACAAGATTTATGTGGAGGTAGCACGGGCCCAGGCTCTTGGTTTGCTGCTGCTTTTCTCTGCGGCCCAGAGGTTCTGCTCCCAAGTCTAGAGCGAAGGTGGCTGAAGTTACAGCCGCCGCACAGCCCAGCCGGGCGGTTGGAGGGAAGACTCGGAAAGGCCACCCCTGCCTTTTAAAGGGGCTTCTTGGGACACACACAGTTCTGCTTATATCCCCTTTGCCAGCTCTAAGCCCCGGGGCCACACCTAATTGCTAATGAGAATGGCCATTCCTCTGTTAGCTAGGGAGCAAGGCCAGCAGCTAAATCTAAGCTTTTTAGTAAAGAAGAATGGTATTGAAATCAACTCTAACCTCTGCCGCAATCTACTTACCACTCATTCCAGGGAGAAAGGTGTTAAGAATTAAACATATTTCTAAATACATGTACTACAATTGTGAGAATACAATGAAACCATAAAAGAAGAAATTACTGCCCGCTTTTTTCCTATAATTGAAACTCATTAGGTCACATTTTCCCATTATATTCCAAACATTGACACTGAGGTCAAGAAACCCTTTAGAAATTATTAGATAAATACCCAAATATCCTACAAAATATGAAGGTTACTTTTTTTTCAGGGGCAATTTGGTCTTTATTTTTACAAATGTAATCTAGTGGTAGCTTTTCTGATGTAACTTCACCATACAGTTGTGAAACATTTGAAAGGAGCAAAATAAAATGGTACTAACTTTTTCAAATCTATAAGGAGAAAATCATTTAATTAAACCATTTGAAATAGTTGTAAGCTTTGCTCATTTGTGTGACCTAAGTGTAAATTTTCTTGTTAGTAATTCTGTTAGCTATAGGTCCCCAGAAAACACAATACTGTACCAGAATTTTCCTCCCAAAAGGCTTAACTAGAGTTTCTAAGCCAATGAAGAACGTATTACAGATATGACAAAACTGACCCTCCAGCAGTGGGGCACACAAATTTGCACTGTCTTCAACCACATTTCATCCAAATAACCAGCAATGCACATTCTTAATACGACTAACTAGAGTTGTGGTTAGGGGCTTAAATATCGCTAAATATTTTTATGACTTTTTGTCATGAAAACTATGCCTTAACAAGTATTTCCAAGCTGAGGGTTGAGCCAGAGGTCCTTCATAAAAAATTTTAGTAGTAAGGAAATAATCCAAGACAATGTTTTACCAACATTTGTGATCTTGATAGCATTATTTAAAATACACAACAATAACAAAATAAATTACTTAAATGACAATACTAGAGAATTTATCAAATAAACAATATATCAATATAAAGGAATATACTACAACCATAAAAATGTTTTTAACTATTGCAGTGACACAAGAAAATTCTTACTATATAAAGTTTTATAACCTTTATTGTTTTTCTGCTTGTGAAAAGTTACATATAGAACATTTGGAAGATATAAAAACAATAGAGAAAATAAATATCACCTGTAATTCCTCTACTTAGAAATTACCATAATGGAGAGAAAGGCTAGCCAGCTAGAACTTTGTGTTTCTCAGATAAGATTTCTGAATGTAAACAGAGCAGGTTCGTTACTGCTGTTAGGAAACCATGCTGTATTATGTTGCTCCACTGTGTGCAACTTTGATTTTGAGAGCTAGCCCAAGATTATGCAAATATATATACATGTATGCAAAGATCATATTATGCATATATTTAATTATGCCTTCTTTGATTAGAATGTAAAATTTATATTAATAAATTATATTAATCTAGTAATACTAATATTTCCTCAGAATGTTAACTAGTTTTAAAAACAAGTTTCCATAACTGAATTGTAGTCCCTTGGATGAATAAGCCATTGATTAGGTTATTATTATTACTTTATTTTGGTTTTCATTTATTTGTTTTTTTAATAATGCTGATGAACAACTCATAATACTTGTGAGCACCATTAGTTATTTTAGAGAAATAAATCCCTATAAATAAACAAATATGAATATATTGAGGCTCTTGACATATATACATAATTGCTCTATGTGGAAAGTGTAGCTATTTATATTTCCAAGTGGGTTGTTACTGGATATGATATCACGTGAAGAGAATAATGTACTAAAGTACTTACATAGATGAAACTAAACACATTTGTACTCCTATACATCATGGGTAGGGAAGAAGTCTAGCTGGAAACCATAAAAATGTTAATAGTGCCTATTTTTAAATGATGGAAGCGCAGGTAAGATTTTTTATTTCTGTTTTTATAGTTTTTCAATTTTCTAAATTGATCATATATGGATTGTATAATAAGATGACAAGTGTTAGCCCGGTCGGGCGTGGCTCGATGGTTGAGCATCGACCTAGGATCCGGGCGATCGGGGTTCGATTCCCGGTTGGGGCACATGCCCAGGTTGTGGGCTCAATCCCCAGTCGGGGACGTGCAGGAGGCAGCTGATCAATGACTCTCTCGTCATTGATGTTTCTTTCTCTCTCTCCCTCTCCCTTCCTCTCTGCAATCAATAAAGACATATTAAAAAAAAAAAAAAAAAAATGACAGGTGTTAGTTTAAAAACTCACTGTAATTTAGCATTAGATACAATATTTCATTTTTGATAACTTCTATTACATTTTCAATTTGTATTTAATGCCCTAATTTATGTAAAATCAGTACAGTAGAATTTAGAAAACCTATTGATAATTCATAATATTTCTACTGCACTGAGATGGCTAAATCAGTATCTGAAAGTGAGTTGTTTCATGAGTACATCTTATTAACCAGAAGTATACTAAATAATAAACCTTTAAACACTGGGCTCCCTGCTCCTCCTGTTCATCAGACAGCAGCGTCTTCCGGCGCAGTACCAATCGCAGCCCAGTGACATGATGGTGAAGGTCTCAGTGAACGAATTTGGCCGTATTGGGCGCCTGGTCACCAGGGCTGCTATTAACTCTAACAAAGTGGATATTGTCGCCATCGATGACCCCTTCATTGACTTCAACTACATGGGGTACATGTTCCAGTTTGACTCTACTCATGGCAAGTTCAAAGGCACAGTCAAGGCTGAGAACAGGAAGCTTGTCATCAACGGAAAGTCCATCTCCATCTTCCAGGAGAGAGAGCCCACCAGCATCAAATGGGGTGATGCCGGAGCTGAGTATGTTGTGGAGCCCACTGGTGTCTTCACTACCATGGAGAAGGCTGGGGCTCACTTGAAGGATGGAGCCAAGAGGGTCATCATCTCTGCCCCATCTGCGGATGCCCCCATGTTTGTGATGGGTGTGAACCATGACAACTATGACAACTCCCTCAAGATTGTAAGCAATGCCTCCTGCACCATCAACTGCTTGGCCCCTCTGGCCAAGGTCATCCATGACAATTTTGGCATCTTGGAAGAACTCATGACCACAGTCCATGCCATCACTGCCACCCAGAAGACCATGGATGGCCCCTCTGGGAAGTTGTGGCGTGATGGCCAAGGGGCTGCCCAGAACATTATTCCTGCTTCTACTGGAGCTGCCAAGGCTGTGGGAAAGGTCATCCCTGAGCTGAATGGGAAGCTCACTGGCATGGCCTTCCGTGCCCCCAACCCCAATGTGTCAGTTGTGGATCTGACCTTCTGCCTGGAGAAAGCTGCCAAATACGATGACATCAAGAAGGTAGTGGAGCAGGCATCAGAGGACTCCTTCAAGGGCATCCTGGGCTACACGGAGGACCAGGTTATCTCCTGCAACTTTAACAGTGACACTCACTCTTCCACCTTTGATGCTGGGGCTGGCATTGCCCTCAATGACCACTTTGTCAAAGCTTGTTTCCTGGTATAATGAATTTGGCTATAGCAACAGGGAGGGGGACCTCATGGTCCACATAGCCTCCAAGGAGTAAGAGCCCCCTGGACCACCAGCCCCAGGGAGAGGAAGAGAGGCCCTCAGCTGCTGGGGAGTTCTTGCCCCAAACTGATCCCCCAACACACAATCTCCTGACCTCCACAGTTTCCATCCCATACCCCCTAAAGAAGGGGAGGGGCTTAGGGAGCCCTATGTTGTCGTGCACCATCAATAAAGTCACTGTACCCAGAAAAAAAAAAACTTTCAAGAATCATTTAAATACTGAAAAATCATTGCATTTATAATGTCTTCTCTTTCTAAGTTCTTTCTAGTTTTTAACAATTAGTTGGTAATTATAATTATCATCATTACTGCAGTAGTAAGGTCCCTGACATACACCAGAAAAAAAATTTTTAAATAGAAAACCCTACAAATTACCCTAGAGAAGGGTAATTAGAAAGAACTTGAAAAAAATAAATATATAAAAAGTGCAACTGCTTTTTGCATTTATTACCAGTGACATTGTCATTGTCATTATTAATCTGTCTTTGTACATTACAAGCACTTTGTTACAGTTAATGACCCATTTCCCATTCAACTCCACCCTGCCTCTGACTTCCTTTATTAAGCTAGTACTAAGTGAACTCATCACAGAACTTAATATCTTATCATAAATATCTATTTTCTCCTGCATTTTCCTAATTAGCTCTACCTATTATTCTAATTTCTATTTCATAATAAATTAGTTATAAAGCATTCATATCTACTAGCCCTTTGATTGACCATGTAATTATTATTTTCAATTTTTCTTTTAAGTAGTAAGTTATGATTCATCTTTCTTTACCCTCTTGTGTGCCTGTGCTCTCACTCTCGGTTTATTCATTACTAGGCACATAGGCATTATTTTCTCACCATGGGTAATTATTTAATTCTTTATTATCAATGATGCATTATGTCCACTCTAATGAATATGAAGAGTTTCAAGTGAATGACTAAAAAATATGTCACTTTTTTAAACTTCTGAATTTTCCTAGATGATTCTAAGGGATAATTAACAAACACTGGAATTTTTTTCAAGCTATTTTATTTACAGTTCCAGTAAGGTAGATGTTGACATACAGTAAAATGCACATTTTTAAAGTGTACACTTTATAAAGCTATCACCATAATCAAAATAATAAGCATATTCATCACCCTCAAAAGTCCCCCATGCCCCTTCCCACCTACCCTTTCATCCCTGAGAATAATATGTCTTCTTCCATTATAGATTAGCATGATTTTTCTGGAATTCTACATAAATTGAAACATATAGTATGTACTCTTTTTTTGTCTGGCTTCTTTCACTCAGCATTATTATTTTAAGATCCATACATATTATAGCATCTATTAATAGTAATTTCCTTTTTATTGCTGAGTAATATTCAATTGTATGGATATTCTATAGTTGTCTATCCATTCACTGGTTGACAGACACATGGGTTATTTACAGTTTTGAGTTATTACAAATAAAGTTGCATTAAATTCATGTATAAGTCTTTAAATGAACATATACTTTATCTTAGGTAAATAGCTAGAACTGGAATGGCTAGATTATGAAGTAATATTTATTTATTTACATAGATATGACATTAAAATAACAAAATGATCAAGTCAGTTTCAACAAAATTTAAAATCTCTGCTCTTCAGAATTGCTAGTTAAGAGAATGAAAGGAGAAACCATAGACTGGGAGAAATTTTTTTTCAAATATCTATCTGATGGAAGATCTGTACCAGAAATATAAGAAGAACTCTCAAAATCAATTATTTCAAAAAACTGCCAATTTTTTAAAAATGCACATAAGTTTCAAACAAAGACTTCACTAAAGAACAGATACAGATAGCAAATAAGCACATGAATAGATGCTTAACATCACTGGTCATTAGGGAAATGTAAATTAAAACACTAATACGATACCACTACACCCTATTAGGATGATTAAAATTAAAAAAAAAAAAAAACCTGACAATAAATACCAGTATTAGTTAAGATGTGTAGCAACTGAAACACTGCTTATGGGAATATAAATCCATCAATTTTTTTTCACTTCAAAATACACTTGAACTAATCAGATATTAAAACTCTTTTTGAAGAAGATACCTGCATTTCTATAAATAACAATATCAAACCAATCATAATGTTATGAGGTAAATTCATCCTAAAAATCTGACCTATCTCTTGTCTCTTATGTTTAGACTTAGACTAGGCATAGTTTTTTTTTACTTAAATTCCTAGCATTGGTTGGCACTATGCTTTAGCTCACATGGCTACTTGTCTGTTTCTACTTAGAACTTAGTAAAAGGTAAAGTTCATAATAAAGAGGCAAAGAGCCTAAATAAGCAAAGCAAAAATCTAAACACAGCCAATAACCTTAATCAAGAAAAACCTTTCATCTAATTGTCTACTCCTGAAAATTAAGGACTCAACACTGTTGTCCTATTCTTATACCTGACATATTATTCTATTTTGAATAAACCATAAAATTATAATTCTGGTTCTAGTTTCAAACTAAACCAAATCACCTTAACTTTCAATTCCTTTTTTTTTAAGCATCAGCTAAGTGACAGGTCCTGGGATAGTCCCTTGATGCATACATAGTTGAATCAGATGGTACTTCTGCCCTTGAGCAGCTCAAAGTCAACAGGTTTATGATTTTGTCTTGGCTTGTGATGATTTACCCAAATAGGTCCTTTCATTAGTAAGCCTATATCTCCTAAAGCTTGATTGTGGCAACAGAGCTGCAAAGTTCCTGTCACCAATTATCTATTATCTGTTATCAGAGAGTTTTAAGGGGTGCACAAGTATTCTTTCTCTCAAAACAACAGCATTTTAAACCAACATGATTTCTCTGAATTATAAAATTCAGGAAAACTCAACTTGAATTTTCCAATTTTTCCTCCCCTTAATTTACTAATGCAAGATGGATCCAGGCTTGCTAAACTCACAAATGACCCTCCCAGCTGCCTTTATACTTTGCCAGCTCCAAGACATTTCCCAGCCTGACCACGTCTTCCTTCTCTAAGCTTCACCTTCCATGGTTATTGCCTGCTTATTCTTCTTCTAACTCTCTAACCATTGCTTTTTCCTTTCATTCACCAGATTCTCACTTCCTGCTCAACATGCCAGATTTCTCTAGATTTATATTTTTGTCTTTCTCTTTTTTCCTTACAGTCTTCCTGAATAACTTCATCTATATTCATGTTTATAACTACAGCCTTTTTGAGTTAATGATTTCTGAATCTATGTCCTATAGTTACTATTTATGGAATGCCTACTATGTGCCCATGATGCTAGGGACTTTGCATAAATTATCTCATTTAATTCTCCACACCCCAGCCTATTTTACAACCCATATGGCCAGGAAATAGCTCATGCCAATATATTTCGGGACCCAGCAAAACCAGTTTTCACTTAAACTAAGGTTTAAAACAAATCTTAAATTCCACACTTCAGAAGTCACTTTGACAACTATTATCTTTAAAGAAAGAATATAGGCAAACTGAACTTACCTAGGAAGACTCAAGTACTCAGCCCTAATATCTGATGCCTGGAAACTCCTTTCCCTTAAAGAGAATCTAAATATTCAAATTCCTCTTTAATTCTCCTTTTATACAATAGAAGCAGACAGAGACACTAAATCCACAAGACTATTGTAAGCTCTAAAAAATACAAAAAGTATGCAGCTTTTCCCTAATTTGTTTTCTTTAGAAAATTCCATTTTTATGGATCACTTTATGAGACCACTGTCGTTCAGCCTAGATTCTGGGAGATAGTGAATGTCAAGAATTTGAAAACATGTCATCTGACTTCTGTCTCACAGCCTACTGCCATCCCTCCTGCAATCACTTTAGTGCAGATGTCCCACATTTGTCCAATATGATGTCTCTCCATTCTCATTGCCCTTATAAGAGTTCAATTTCTCACCATCTCTCATCTGAACAATTTCTATGACCTCTTCACTGCCTCCAGTCTTACCCTGCTGCAATCCTGCCTCCACATATTTCCAATACAATCTTTCTAAAATGTACATTTCACCATTTAGAACCAAGTCAATTTATTCCCCAACCCAGCTACTCCCCACACACGCACCTGCCCCATGCCACATCCCTCTGCAACTGGTCAGTTTTCAGTGCAAAATTCTTTTGTTTAACAGCTCTCTATCTTTGATGAATACAATAATACCCATGAATTTAATTTTATGTTTTTCAATTTACTTGTGCACTTAAAAACACTATGAGGAAAAATATTTAAATGTATACATCTGCAAATTGATGATCTGTCAGCAGGGATTATTGGGGAATAACACTGTAGCCTTGAATCTCCAGAACTCAACTTGATGCTGTCTGAAAGAAGCTCTACCTCCTGTAAACAAACTCAATCAGCTCACAGAGACAGAAACATATAAACTTATATGCCAATTCCTTCAGTTACAAGGAGAAATCAAGTTCACATGGTGCCTAGAATACTATCAGTTAACTTATTTTATCCATCTAATACATAAAAGATTTAAATTTTATTCATAATATGACTTACTAAATGTGTGCAAAGAAATTCACCACAGAAAAAGGCATATGCCAATAAATATTTAAAATATTTAAAACCTTACTAAAAATAAATAAGACCATGAGAATCAGCACCCAACCTTGCAAAGCACATATAATAATAGATAATTCTAAACAAAATATTAACAAAATAATCTATCAATGTATGAAAAGGATATTACATCATAACCATGTGAAATTTATCCCAGGAATATAAGTTTGGCTAATATTTGAAAATTAATCAATGTAAGTCACTATACTAAAAAAAGGAAAAAACAAAATTACATAATCTCAGTAAATGAAGAAAAAGCATTTAACAAAATTTAATATCTAACTTAAAAGTTAGTTAGTTAGTTGGTTAAAAAACTCAACCAGGCAAACTACAGATAGAAAAATAATTGTCTGTATTTTTGTCTGATCTCTAGGCCCAGGAATACTTGTTGGTGGCAGGAAAGAAGTTATACCCCATGGTTCTACTCA